AACTTGAAACCGTAAACCCTAAACCCCGAACCCGAAACCCTGAACTTGAAACCGTAAACCCTGAACCCTAAACCCTAAACCCTGAACCCTAAACCCCTAAACCCTAAACCCGAAACCCGACACCGTCTAGGTTCACGTACTTCAGCCTGCCCCGGCTGCTGGCACCCGACTTCCGGGGAGAGGCTTCGGCTCGAGACTTTTAGAGGGAAGGCCACGCCTTGAGGGGCCGGGGCGGGGGTTCAACCCCAAGTCCTCGACCCTACAAGGGTTTCAGGCTTTAGGGGTTTAGGGTTTCAGGGTTTAAGGTTCAGGCTTTAGGGTTAAGGGTTTAGGGTTTCGAGTTCAGGGGTTTAGGGTGTAGGGTTGAGGGTTTCAAGTTCAGGGGTTTAGGGTCTAGGGTTTAGGGTTCAGGGTTTATCAGCCCTTGGAGGTGGGTTTTTGGATGACACAAGATCAGGACCCCAAAGTAGGAGGATCGCTTCTCTTTCCTTCTGCTGAACCGTCCCCCTAAACCCTAAACCCTAAACCGAAGCCCCAGCACACCGAGCCTCAAATCTCCATCCCCGCCCCTGAAGCCCCAAAACCGACGTAAATACCGAAACCTGAAACCCCCAAACCCCAAACCCTTCAACCTAAAACCCTAAACCCTAAACCCCTAACCCCTCAAACCCCAAACCCCAAACTTCAAACCCTAAACCCCTAAACCCCTAAACCCCTAAACCCCTAAACGCTAAGGCCTTGAAGCCCTGGAAATCCCAAGGATGCGTCGATCTCCTTCGTCATCAACTGCCCGAGCCTCTCGGACGTCGACCGAACGGCCGAGACCTCGGAGACACTGGACCTGGCGCGCTTCATTCTGAGGCCACCCCCTTTTTCTTTGGGGTTTTAGGGTTTAGGGTTTAGGGCTTAGGATTTTAGGGTTTAGGGTTTAAGGTTTTAGGGTTTAGGGTTTTGGGGTTTAGGGTTTGGGGTTTCGTTTAGGGGTTTTGGTTTTGTGGACTACTACTCTGTGTTTTGTGTGTGTGTGTGTGTGTGTGTTTTTGTGTGTGTGTGTGTGCGGGTGTAGTAGTTGAGGTTTTCAGAAGCTCTACAATTCCTACGCCGTGAAGCTTTGTTAATAGCTTAAGCATTAAGGCCACCAGATTTCCCTAAGGACTAAGGCCTAAACACCCTTCAGCCTAAATGCCCTAAAGCCCTGAAGCCCAAAACCCTAAACCCTAACCTAAACCCCCTATGATAGAACCCTCAAAGGGAACCCCATTATCGACCATGCAATACTTGTTGGTATCCTCCTGCCCCGTAAAAAACACCCGGAGCCCCGATCATACTCTAGTTCAAGTTACCACCATGGGGATTTGTGGTCGATTCCTTATTCTGGCAACTTTACTCAAGGTGCCTGACAGCACCCAGTACACCCCCGATCATGGACCCTAAACTCTAAACCCCAAACCTTAAACCCTAAACCCTAAGCCCTAACCCCCTCACCCTAAACCCTACACCCTAAACCCTAAGCCCAAAGCCCTAAACACTAAACCCTAAAGCCCTTAACAGCCCAGTTATCACAGCAGGTTGGAGCTTGCCTACCGGGCCCAGAAAGCCACGGTGCAGCTGACCGCGGAGGCGCTTCGGGTCAAGGTTCAGGGTTTAGGGTTTAGGGAGTTCAGGGAGTTCAGGGAGTTTAGGACTTAGGGTCAAGGTTGAGGGGTTTAGGGTTTAGGGGTTCAGGACCCAAGGTTTAGGGCCGTTTAGGGTTCAGGGTTTTGGGTTTAGGGAGTTTGGGGAGTTTAGGGTTTAGGGTTCAGGGTTTAGAGCTTAGGGGTTCAGGGCCCAAGGTTTAGGGCCGTTCAGGGTTCAGGGTTTTGGGTTTAGGGAGTTTAGGGTTCAGGGTTTGGGAAGTTTAGAATTTAGAGTTTTGGGGTTACGGGTCAGGGTTTAGGGTTTAGGAGCTTCGGTTGAGGGACGGCGCAGAGGCTTTCCCAGTCTCTCCTGAAACATCTACGTTGATCTTCAATGGTATTCAAGAGGTGGGAAACGTCCCTGATCTGTGATACTGGGGGATGCTTCCATTGGGTTCCGAATTTGAATTTCAGCAGCCAGAACAAGGACATTTGATGGTAACTCAATTTCAAATCCCCGACCCTGAAAACCCCAAAATCCCTCAACCCTAAACACCCTTGTAGAACTCTCATGAGACCTTAACTAGATCCCTAAACCCTAAACCCCTAAACCCTCAACCCTAAACCCTTAAACCCTCAACCCGAAATCCGAAACCCTTACTCTAAGCCCTGAACCCCTTTTAAAACAGGAGCCCGAAAGTCTCGCTCCCTCCGAGGAGCTCCTGAAGTCGGCCGAGAGCCGCGCCGAGAGGGCGCCGACGCCCAAGGCAGAGGCGCCTTTGTGGGGCCCCGAAACCAGGGTTTAGGGTTTAGGGTTTAGGCCTCAAAACCTGAAGCCCCAAACCCTCAAACCCTAAACCCCTAAACCCTCAAGCCCTATGAACCCTAAAGCCCTAAACCCTGGACCCCCTAAACCCCAAACCCTCCAACCCTAGACCTAGACCCTGAACCCCAAACCCTGAACCCTGAAACCCTCAAACCCTCAAACCCTGAAGCCCTAAACCCTAAAAAGGCGCCGGTGGGGCCCATGCCCTCCGACGACCGGGAGATCCGGAGGCGCCTTTTTTTTTTTTTTTCTCGAGGGGTTCCCATAAGTTTTTTTTTTGGGTTTCGGGTTTAGGGGTTTGGGTGTAGGGTTTAGGGTTTGGGGGTTTGGGTTCCTACAATGGTATTTTTAGGGTTTAGGGTTCGCATCGGGGTGGAGCAAGGGATGGAAAAGGTGCTACATTGGGGAGGGTTTGGGGTTCCTATAAGGTTTTTCTGAGGCTTTAGGGTTCATAAAAACGGTGTAGGGTGTAGGGCTCCCATAAGGGTTTGTGGTTTGGGGCTTGTAAAGGTTTTGGGGCTCAAAACGGTTACAAGCCGGCGAGATTTCCAAGTTTCCCTTGCCTAAGCCCTACGCCTAAGCCTAAAGTACCCTGAAACTGAAAAAAACCTTAAACCCTAAACCCTAAACCCAGAAAACAACCTAAACTTCCCTATTTTAAACCCTAACACCATGGGAATCGGAACTCCCTGACTGAAGCCGGACCTGAGAACCACGAACGACTAACCTTTCTTAGTCAGAAATTGTTGAGCGCTCCGCCGTCGCAAGTCCGACATTCTACACAGGGTCTACGGATCTAGGGTTTAGGGTTTCGACCAACTGTTTAGGTTTCAGGGTTTGGGGACTGTTGTTTGCTGCTAAAAGATAACCATTAATAAACACTAGGCCAGACCGACAAAGAAAGTCGGTTTAGTGTCGAGAGTTTAGGGCTAAGCGTTAGGGATCTAGGATTTGGGCTCTTGAATTTTAAGGTTGTGGGTTTAGGGCTTTCGGGTTTTGGGGGGTTAGGCTTTAGGATTTAGGGTTGCTATGCTGTAGGCCTTGGGGTTACAAACCCCAAACCCTCAAACCCTAAAATCTTACGAAATCTTACGGTAAAGCCCTAAACCCTAGACCTTCATAGGAGCCCTAAACCCTGCACCCCTACACGAACCCCTCTGGAGGCTCCGGAAGAAGTTGGAGAGGCGGAGCCAGGAAGTACAGGAGCTCCGGAAGCAGCTGGAGGCACAGCGCCTGGGACCTCTCCTGAAGAGGACTTCGCTGTTTGAGTTTTAGAGTTTTAGGGCTTCGGGCTTTGAGGTTTAGGGCTTTGGGTTTTAGGGTTCAGGGTTTCAGGGTTTAGTTTTTTTTTGTTTTTTTAAGGTTTAGGGCTTTCGGATTTAGGGTTTGGGCCTGGGGTTGCAGGGTTTAGGGCTTCGGGTTTTGGGGCTTGGGATTCAGGATTTCAGGGTTCAGGGTCGGAGTCCAGCACTCTGTTCTTTGGCCACCCTTTTTGATCACCTTGGTTTCTGGAGAAGTTCGGAAGCCCTAAACCCTATAAGCCTTAAGCCCTAACCGTGCAGGATCGAAGATTTCGGGTTCAGGATCTCTGGGTGAGACGTCAGGGTTTCGAGGTCTCCGGGTTTTGGCGCTTTCGATGCGGGAGGTTTCTGGGGTTTAGGGTGCTTGGAGGTTTGCGGGCCCCTAAACCCTAAACCCTAAACTCTATAAACCCTAAACCCAAAGATTTCGGGTTCAGGTTTAGGGGCAAGGTGCACCGCTCAAAGCTTCCTGAACCCTGATCCCTAAATGCGAAGCCCCGCGTGCAAGAGAGGAGTCTGGAGAAGGCGTCATCCGAAGAGGTCCGGGAGCTCTTGAAGGAGGCTGCTGGGCCTCGCTTGTTGTTGCTAGTAGTTATCTTTGTCATGATTCTTTTTTGGGGGGTTCTAGTTGTTATTGTTATGTTCTTCTTGGGCTCATTTCTTTCTTCTTTGGGGTGGGGCTCTTGGGGACTTTGCCATTCTTGCTACACAGTGTAGTGTGAATTATGATTTAGGGGGACCCC